TGGATAATAAGGAGGAATTAGACCTAATAATCCAGACCTGTGCTGAAGATTCCCTTAGCCATTTCCCTTGAGTAGTTGTCCTGATTTTCACCCACCAGCATGCAGGCCTCAGAGGGGGCGCTGCTCTGCCTCAACACTGCTTGCTGGTGCTCTGTGGTGCATCTTGAGACAAGACCAGAGGTTTCTAACATGAGTATCCTAAAGTCTAGGGGACAGCAAAAGGGAAATAAATATGGAGAGAGAGAAAGAGATAGTGAAAGTTATGTGAAAGTTGTATTCTTTTGTGACCTAACTGTGGAAGTCACATAGCATCACTTCTGCCATACTCTGTTGGTCAGAGAAGGCCCATGCAAGGTGTCATGGATTGAATTGTGTCCCCCAAAAATATCTGTCAACTTGGCTAGGTCATGATTCCCAGTATTGTATGACTGTCTACCATTTTATCACCTGATGTGATTTCCCTGTGTGTTGGAAATTCTATCACTATGATGTAGTAAGATGGATTAGAAGCAGTTATATTGATGAGATCTACAAGATTAGATAGTGTCTTAAGCCAATCTCTTTTGAGATATGAAAGAGAAAAGCAAGCAGAGAGACAAGGGGACCTCATGCCACCAAGAAAGCAATGCCACGAGCACAGCACATCCTTTGGACCTGAGTTTTCTGCGCTGAGATTCTCCCAGACCAAGGGAAAACTGAGGTATCACAAGGACCTTCCTTCAGAGCCAACACAAGAGAAAGCCTTCCCCTGGGGCTGGTGCCCTGAATCTAGACTTCTAGTCTACTGGACTGTGAGAGAATAAACTTCTCTTTGTTAAAGCCATCCACTTGTAATTTCTGTTACAGCAGCACTAGATAAAGAAGACACAAGGGTAGGCAATGTAGACGTAGTCTCTTGATGGGAGATGTGTTAGTCACATTGCATCTAGAACATGTGGGATGCAAGGTATGTGTGTGTGTATGTGTTGTTATGACCATATTTGGAAAATACAATCACACACACACACAGACACACACAAACACATATTGTATAGTTGTTATAAACATCATAACTTTAGGTAACATCCAGCATAATTCCAGGCACTCTGTAGTTGTCCCATATGCATTAATTCTATTTCTCCTTGCTTTCTCCCCTTTATATAAGAAAAATACAGTGGGTTTTTATTTTTAAGACACACAAGATATAAGAGATTAAAATGGTATTATTTTTGTATGTTCTAGCATTCTGAGTTGTTAGTCTGTAAATTCCCATTTTACAAATGAGGGAATTATGGCTCAAAGATGTTTAGTAATTTTACTCTTAAACTGGTTCAGCAAGATATTTATTAAAATGTTACTTTGTGTTTGTTCAATGAATTTTTGCATACTGAACATATCTGTGTAATCAGCACCCCATCAGAAATAGAATATGACCGGTAACCCCAAAGAATCCTTCATATCCCTTTCCAGTCACTAGCCCCTAAACCTTTGACCAAGGGTAACTGCTGTCTAATTTCTATCACCATAGATTGATTTTTCTTGTTTTGAACTTTATATAAATGGGATTATAAAGTTCATAATCTTTTGTGTCTGGCTTCTTTTGCTCCATAATAAGTTTGTGACATTTATTCACATTGCACGTAATTGTGTGCCATTAACTTTTGTGGCTATATAGAATTCTATTTTTTAAATATGTGCAGTTGATTGACATGTAGGTTGTCTCCAATTTTTGGCTATTACGTATAATACTGCTTTGAACACTTTTTTTTTTTTTAATGAAGATATGTACTTGTTTCTGTTGGGAATACACCTAGGAATGAAACTTCTGGGTCAAAGGGACATATATGTTTAATTTTGTGAAATACTGCCAAATAACCAAGAAATACCAATGTATAACAGCATGCAACAGTGTGTAGTACCAATGTAATTCTTCTCCCCTTCTGTTTCCTTTCCACTGATTCCAGGCAGATATCCAGGGTTTGTAGTTTTTTTGCTTTAGGGCTTTTGGCTAGCTAGAAATCCGAAGCAGCTTGCCGTCAATGACCTTTCCCTTTTGGAAGCCAAGGTTTACTGAAGAGATAGTATTGGTTGATCAGGAAAGGTAAGTTCACTTAAGGAGGACTTTGAGGGCAAGGAGGGTGAGAAACAGAGAGTGACTTCCTTAGTCAGGCAAGAGAATGGACGTGAATCTAGGAGACAGAACAGCTGAACTGCTGTTGTGTTCTTCTTAATAGGCTGACTATACGATTTATTAACCAAATTCAGACAGTTTTGAGAGTGACAGGATGTGCTATTGATAATTATGCAGGGATAATGGGTGTAAATCAGCACTGTCTTGGGCAAACTGCGTAGGGACGTGCAAATGCAGATGCTCACATATTCACGTAACAGATCATATGGAGAGTGGCTTTGTCATCTAGGGAATGTTCTTTAGAATATTCATGTAGCAGATCATATGGAGAGCAGCTTTGTCATCTGCCGAGTGTTCTTTAGAATATTCGTGTAGCAGATCATATGGACAGCAGCTTTGTCACCCGGGGAATGGTAGGATTAAAACCTTCAGGTACACCTCCGTGTATACCTTCAGCATGCACATGTGTAGAATAACCTCTTGCAGGTGTGTGTGTGTGTGTGTGTGTGTGTGTGTGTGTGTGCCTCCTTGCATGTGTGTTGTGATATTTTAATCTCTTCATATACAGCAAAGGCCTGTCTGTGGCCTTTAGTAGACTTAAGGAAAGGTGGTGTTTGTGGTGCTGGCGGTAGATGTCACTAATGCTGTGAGCAGAAGAATTCATGGCGCTAGAAGCCTTTTGGCTGAGATGCTCTCAAATCTCCTATGGGAGAACATTATAGCCCCTATAGCCCTTATCTCGCTTTTTTTTTTTTTTTTGGGTCCTACTCTCAGATTTAACATTAACAACCTGCGATATGCAGATGACACAACCTTGCTTGCTGAAAACGAAGAGGACTTGAAGAACTTACTAATGAATATCAAAGACAACCTTCAGTGTGAATTATACCTCAACACAGAGAAAAAAACAAAATTCCTCACAACTGGACCAATAAGCAACATCATGATAAATGGAGAAAAGATTGAAGTTGTCAAGGATTTCATTTTACTTGGATCCACA